CACATCAGAAACTCGACGGCACAGTCCAAAGTGGGCCTTGCTGCACTGATCACAATGTGGTGTTGCGGGTCTCGTCTGACTAGTATCCCTGTGATATTGCAAGCCTAATGCCCGCGAACTCTCACCTGGACCAGAATAGGTAAATTGATCATATCGAAGCCTCTAAAACTGTGGAGGGGCACTAGCTACAGGTGGCGCCTAACTCCTCGAAGAATGGGGCCTGACATTGCCTCTAAAATTATCAGAATACCTTGCAAATCTCGCCCTCTTACGTTGGCCCCTATCCTGCTCCTTATCTGCCCTTTGCTGGCGCTTACGATCCTCTAGGTTCTGGTCATAAGCCTGAATATGGGAAATATCCATGCCCTCTACCAAGGAGGTTGTCGTGCACTCAATTATCAGATGTGGTCCCAACCCGTTCACGAATAGATGCACCCTATCGCTCATCTCGTGCACCATATGGGGAGCAAACCTTGATAATGAATCAAACTGCATACTATACTCTCGCACACTCATATTACCTTGTCGAAGGTTCAAGAACTTATCAGCTCTAGCTCATCGTATCTCAACCTACAAGCAGTGACGAAGAAAGGCCTCAGAAATTTCATCCACACAGCTGAAGGAGCGTTCCGACCCCTCGATCTCTCCCAACTATCATACCAGAAAACCGCTAAATCCCGTAACCGATAAGAAGCAAACTGTACTGCCTCGGTATCACTAGGATGCATAACCCCCAGTGTACGATGAACCTGATCAATAAAAGTATGCGGGTCCTCCTTGTGGTCTAATCGGATAAACACTTGAGGGTCTAGATTATTGAAATCACGAACTCTCAAACTAATTGGTTTATCAACATCAACGGTATTCTGCCTCTAAGCCTGAGCAGCTACCAAGCTAGTCAACAACTGTACCGCACTCCGCATATCCTGGTCTGTAGTGCCAGACGGGGAAACTGGTGGTGCTGGGTTCCTCCTAATATCCTCTGGAGGGGACGGAGTAGATGAGGTATGAGACGACATCTCACTCTGAGACTCACTTTGGCCTGCTCTGGCTTGGGGCACCTAACTGTTACCCTCTCTCGCACCTGCATCAAGACGTCTACTAATCGCTTGTTTCCTAGTCGAAGGGATCGCTGAAAGAAAACAAGGTGAATATTAGAGAAAAACACTTACGACTCAACTCTACGCACGATCTAGATTCAGCAAGAAGGTAACAACCCTAAATGTCATGTAGCCTCCTGATTATAAATGTGGCGCGCTACACATCCATAATCAAGACTCTACTAGACACCGGTCATAGAAAACCCCTAGGACAGACTTGCTCTGATACCAAGTTTGTCACCACCCAAAATGGAGGGTCATGACTAGCACCCGGGCCATACTTTTCAAGCACCAACGTACATTTTATCTAACCTTCCTTATTATCTTTAAGTGCCGATGATATCAATATAAATGGTAGACATGGATCTCGATCAACCAACAATGAAAGATAATGGAATGAACATACATAACATGGGACGACAAGAATGTCAAGAAACTATATATAAGGTACGAGCTACCACGCTGCCATGAAAGACTATACAACAAAAGTTAGCCGAGAAGGAATACCAAACTATACATGAGTCAACACCTATCTATGAGCCTCTAATGGAACATAAGTGCTACAGCATTGCTGGAACAGGGCCCCGTCAGACCCATTATTTCTATAACAAAAATGCATACCAAGACCCGGCAAGTTCGGAGAAGGGATCTCACAAATAACCGTTGAACTGGGCAGCCTACTGTGGTGGGGGAGCTACATCTACTCGTCTATCAGGACCTGCAACATGACATGCAGCGTCCACAAATAAAAAGGACGTCAGTACGAATAAAGTACTGAGTATGCATGGCAGGAAAGAATAAGTATGAACAGTAATGTGAATAAGGATAGAGAATATACAACCACTAACATCTGGGTACCTCCAAGGGCTACTGACATGAAATGTATGATACATACATATATATACATAAACTTTTAAAACATATGCCTCTATAGGCATCATCATCATCATATCGTACGTGGCCTCAAAGAGGACTCGGTAAGAACGTACTTGACAATCACTAGGCTCAGTAGAATCATACCCGGACACATGGAGCTCGGTAATACCCAACTGATCAGTGGTTTCACAATAGGTGCGGTACCCGGCCGACTATAGCATGGCTCGGTAGAGTAAAATAGATACATATATATAGTGTATTCTCGACTCAAGGAATCACGTTCTAAACCTTTCGGAGTGACGTAAGGTCGGTATCCTCTGTACACGTTATTAGGACTAACTCTTCACTAATCTTATAAGAATCAGGAAGTACCAACAATATTGATAACATAAGAATAAGACAAGCAACATCAACATCAATCGTTCCATGAGAGGGGAAACAATGTAAGTACTGCTAGCTTCTAAGAGTAGAGTATCTTTGGAAGCTCATTCATTACATTATGTATAATCGGAGTCGTGCAAAAGAAGGAAAAGGATAGTCTCACATACCTTGTATATACTTCCCAACCTCAAGCTATGCAAATGTCTCGACTCCTTAGTCTACAATAGGAGAAATGATACTATCATTAACGTTTAAGCGTCGTAACTATTATGTACCGACCACAACCTATTTTACAATGAAACGGACAGCACCTCCCCAATTTATATGACTTTCCAAAATTCAAAACAATCACCAAAAAGCCCAAACAACATCAATATTAATCATATTGAGCCTCCCAAAACAGTCCACCAACCAACAACATTACTATCAAGCCTTTCGATATATATTTCACAAGTTCTAGCTTCAATGACTTAGCCACAACTTGGATAATATTAAATACATGTAGCGTAAGAGTTTCCTCACCTTTGAAAATAAAGAACAACTCCAACTTGACCTTAATTGTCCACGAAATATCCCTCCAATGCTGCCACAACAACAAGGAAGCGAAACTAGCAATCAATTAGGGTTTTTCGGTACTAGAATCACTTTAGAAGGCTTGAAATCACCTAGGGTGGATATTAATAAATTGAGGGAGTATTTACAGAACATAAACCCCTTAAAACAACCTCCAACACGATCTGGAACAACACAAAAATGAGAAACAACAAGAAGAACAAGAAACTTACTAGCACCATGGGATTCCCGATACTTGATTTGTGTTGTTTGCCCTTTGTTTGGGTCTTGAATCTTGAGAGGGTGTTTCTAGGGTTCTAAGGTCTAAATATAATGAAAATGAATGACTTAAAACGGGGTCTAGGCACATATATATATATATATATATATATATATATATATATATATATATATATATATATATATATATATATATATATATATATATATCTGTGTGTGTGTGTGTGTGTATGTATATATATATCCATATCTCTTAAACCAACTATGTGGGACCCATAGAGAGGTGCTTGGCGCAGTCTCGCAAATATGCGAATATCTCTCTACTCCGATATTGTATCGATGAACGGTTAAATGGGTTGAAAACTAGACTCATATGTCTTCAATTTTGTGGGTAGATCACCCCATATTTCCAAGAAAATGGGGAGAAAAGCCTAGTAACATTTGACATAAAGTTTAAGTAAAACTATGAACCTAAGTTGCGACAACTTTTGTCGACTTTTATTTCATAACTCGTTTGACTTCAAGACATATTATACAAGTATTATATGATTCAAATACCTTAAAACACAACCTCTTGAGTATATTAAGCACCTCTAGGTTTACCCAAAAATATGGGTTACAACATCCTTGATTCGTTTAACTTCTAATACTTGTTAACCACCCTTATACACCCTTCTATCATTTAAGACCAATAGGATTAACTTCTTATCATCTCAAAGATAATCTGTTCTAGGATTTACGTCTACTAACTTACATCATGAACTAACGTACGTGAATATGGGTTGTAACAATAAAGAATTACATGATCATGGGCAAGAAATTGCCGAGTTGACCACCATAATGAATCAACTAGCAAAAGCTCAACTTCAAAAAGTGAAAGGTCCTAGGCAAGTCAATGCAATGGAAGGAGTTAGTATGATAGTAAACAAGAGAAGGCAAAAGGGTCCTAAAGTGTAAAACCGGATTGAAAATTATGTGCAAGATGATTGTGGGTTTTATCAAGATGAACCATAAAATGAACAAGAAGAAGAGGTACAATATGTGAACAACTTCCAAGGGCAAAGAAACAACAATCAAGGTCCGAATCAACAACAATGGAGACCACAAGGAAGCCAAGGAAATTAGAATTCAAACAATCAAGGAAATTGGAATTCACACAATCAAGGTAGTTGAAACAATCAAAACAACCAATGGAATTGGAACAATCAAAGCAATCAAGGAAATTGGAATGGTCCAAATAACCAAGGCAATTAGAGTGGCAATAATCAAAGCTATTGGGGAGGTAATAACCAAAGAGGGTGGAACAACAACAATAACCGAGGGTCGGGTTTTCAAAGGCCCCCGATGTTTCAACAACCGAGCAACCTACCTCCCTATCCTTCCCAAGGTCTGAGTTCTTTCGAAAATGAGATGGGCCGAATAGAGAACATGTTAAAACAAATGACGGAGAAGAATGCTGACTCTGATGCTCAATTAGCCTCTCACAAGAAAAACGGTGAGAACCAATTCAAAAATTTTATTGACATGATGAAAAATTTGTCTATTAATGTGCCATTGGTTGGGGCTTTGGAGAAAATACCGGGTTATGCAATGTTCATGAACGACTTGGTGACGAATAAGAGATCGATGAATTGTGAAACCATCAAGATGACGCATCAAGTGAGTGCACTTGTGCACTCAATAGCTCCTAAATGGGAAGATCCCAGCGCTTTCAGTATCCCATGTACAATTGGAAGTGCCGACTTTGCCAAAGCTTTATATGATGTTGGGGCAAGTATCAACTTGATGCCCTATTCGGTGTTCAAAATCGTGGGAATTGGCCAACCAAGACCCATATCCATGAGGTTATAAATGGCGGATAGTACAATGAAGAGACCTTTGGGTATTGTAGATGATATGTCGGTTCGTGTTGTCAAGTTCATCCTCCCGACGGATTTTGTGATTTTTGATTGTGAACTGGACTATGAGGTGCCTATTATTTTGGATAGACCTTTCATTGCTACGGGGAAGGCCCTTGTTGATGTGGAAGCCTGTGAGCTCACCTTTCGGTTGGGTGATGAAAATGTTGTCTTCCATGTGTGCAAATCTATGAGGCAACCAAATAGAAATGATGTTTGTTTTTTTGTGGATTTGGTGACCGATGTGATTAGTGATGAAAAAAGTGTCGTGTTGAATGTGGATGATACTTTGGAGGCCATTTTGCTCAATTGTGATACTGAGGAGAATGAAGTCTATGTGGAATGTGTGATGCATTGCAAGGAATGGGGTCGGACACTTATAAACCCCGCAAGTTATCCTTAGACCTTGAAAACTGGAAGACTTCTCCAACAAAGCCCTTGATTGAGGAGCCTCCCACTTTGGAGTTAAAGCCATTGCCTCCGCATCTTACGTATGAATTCCTTGGCCCTTGTTCTACTTTACCGGTTATTCTTTCCTTTTGTTTGACTGACGTGTAGGTAGACTCCATATTGGCGGTGCTACAAAAGAGGAAGAGAGCTATAGGATGGACATTGGCAGATATTCGGGGTATATGCCCCGCCTTTTGCATGCAGAAGATTATTTGGAGGAGGGTTACAAATCCTCCATTGAACATCAAAGGAGGCTAAATGAAGCAATGCAAGAGGTGGTAAAAAAAGGAGTTTATAAAGTGGTTGGATGCCGGGGTTGTTTACCCCATTCTGATAGTTCATGGACTTCTTCAGTGCAATGTGTCCCAAAGAAAGGGGGCATGACTGTGGTTACCAATGACAAGAACGAGTTGATTCCTACAAGAACGGTGACCAGGTGGAGAGAGTGTATGGACTATCTCAAGATCAACAAAGTCACAAGGAAAGATCATTTCCCACTTCCCTTCCTTGATCAAATACATGATAGGTTAGCCAGTCGTGCTTCTATTGTTTCCTCGATGGGAATTCCGGCTACAATCAAATTCTTATTGCTCCAGAGGATCAAGAAAAGACTACTTTCACATGTCCCTGTGGTAATTTTGCGTTCTCGCGGATGCCATTTGGGTTATGCAATGCACTGGTGACTTTTCAACGGTGTATGATGGCTATCTTCATCGACATGGTGGAGGATTTTCTTGAGGTCTTCATGGATGACTTTTTCATGGTCAGGAATTCTTTTGATGATTGCTTGAAAAATTTCGATATGGTCTTGGAAAGATGTGAAGAAACGAATTTGGCATTGAATTGGGAGAAATGCTATTTCATGGTCGAGAAAGGCATTGTCCTTGGCCACAAAATTTCATAAAATGGTATTGAGGTCGACAAGGCCAAAATAGTGGTGATTTCTAAACTTCCGCCCCCTACATCCGTAAAGGGAGTGAGGAGTTTCTTGGGTTATGCGGGGTTCTATCGCCATTTCATCAAGGATTTTTCCAAAGTGTTGAAACCCTTGTGTAGGATTTTGGAGAAGGATGCCAAATTCCATTTCAATGAGGATTTCATGAAGGCATTTGAATTTCTCAAGTTCAAATTGACCACTACTCCTATTATCACCGCACCGGATTGGAGCTTGCCTTTTGAGCTCATGTGTGACGCAAGTGATGTGCTGGCTGGAGCAGTTTTGGGGAAAAGAATCAACAAAATCTTCCATCCGGTCTACTATGCTAGTATGACCATGAATGATGCCCAAGTCAATTACACGGTGACTGAAAAAGAGCTCCTTGCTATTGTCTTTGCTATGGAGAAGTTCCGCCCGTACTTGATAGGTACTAGGGTGATTTTCCACACCGATCATGCAGCGCTTCAGTACTTAGTGAGCAAGAATTATTCAAAGGCGAGGTTAATGTCGTGGGTGCTTTTATTGCAAGAGTTCGATCTAGAGGTCCAAGACCGCAAAGGTAGTGAAAATCAAGTGGCGGACGACTTGTCGCGATTGGAGGAGGGGGGAGGCCACATGACGGCCATGAGATCAATGATTCCTTCCCCAACGAGAAACTTCTAGCCATTTCAATGACCGAGATTCCATGGTTCACCGATTTAGTGAATTATCTTGTGAGTGGCACTGTACCGAAGATGCTCCAACGGGATTACCTTGACTATTATTGGGATGAACCGTATCTTTTTCGGATTTGTACCGATGGTGTGATTTGATGATGTGTGCTGGAGGAGGAACAAGTGGAAATTCTTGAGGATTTCCACTCTTCACCGTATGGTGGTCACCATGGTGGAGCTAGAACGACGACAAAAGTGTTGAGTTGTGGATTCTATTGGCCTACTCTCTACAAGGATGCTAGTGAGCTTGTCAAGCGTTATGATGAATGCCAAAGGGCCGGGGGAATCTCAAAGAAAAATGAAATTCCCCTCACCACCATCTTGGAGATTGACATTTTCGATGTGTGGGGGATTGATTTCATGGGTCCGTCTGTGAGCTCTTGTGGAAACACCTACATTCTAGTCGCGGTTTATTATGTGTCTAAATGGGTTGAGGCTGCTTCTTTGCCCAACAATGAAGCGAGGAGTGTGGTGGAATTTTTGAAGAAGAACATCTTTACAAGATTTGGCACTCCAAGGGCTATCATAAGTGATGGGGGTTCGCATTTTTGCAACAAGGATTTTGATACCTTACTCACCAAGTATGGTGTCACTCCCAAAGTCTCGACCCCCCTATCACCCTCAAGCGAATGGTCAAGTGGATGTCTCCAAAAGGGAGATCAAGAGTATTTTGTCAAAGATAGTGAATGCCAATCGGATGGATTGGTCAAGAAAACTCGATGACACTTTATGGGCTTACAGAAAAACAATTGGGATGTCTCCATACCGGCTAGTGTTCGGGAAAGCTTGTCATCTTTCGGTGGAACTTGAGCATAATGATATGTGGGCAATGAAGACGCTTAATCTTGAATGGGACGTTGCTGCCAACTTAAGGGTGACACAATTGAATGAGCTAGATGAGTTCCGGTACCATGCATATACAAGTTTATCCTTATACAAGGAGAAGATGAAGTACCTCCATGACAAGTACATTTGGAACAAGGAGTTTAAAGAAGGTGATCTTGTGTTATTGTTTAATTCTCGATTACAGATGTTTTCGGGAAAGTTGAAGTTAAAATGGAGTGGCCCGTTTGAAGTTGTTGGTGTGACACCATTCGGTGCGTTGGATTTGAAAAATAAGAATGATGAAGTGTTTAGAGTCAATGGACTCTGAGTGAAACACTATCTTGGAAAAGTGGATGATGGCCACGTCGTGGCAGTTCTCCATCTCAAGTGATTGGTAATCTGCATCGTGCTGCGACGTTAAATCAGGCGCTTCTTGGGAGGCAACCCATATGTCTTTTTCTTTATCACTTTCTTCTTTAGATAGGTTTTGTTATGTACTAACTAATGTTGAAGTGTATGCAGGAATGAGTGTGCTTTGTAGGAACTGTGCCCGGAAAAATTGGCCAAGTGTTGAAAAAGTGCGGACCGCACATTTATTGTGGGAACCGCACAATTTTGTATGCTACAGCAGAGAGGAATCTACGGCCGCACAATTCATTGTGTGGCTGCACAACTGGAGACCCAAAAATGCAACTCTATGATGTTTGGATTAGCCAAGAAATGGCCATTCTACGGCCGCACTCATTTTTGTGCGAACCGCAGAGCTTCAGCTAGGTACATGTAGATAGTGCATGCCGCACTCAAAATTGTGTAGCCGCACTCAGCTTCACTTTTGACCTAATTTGGCCAACCTATAAATAGGTCCTCATAGCACTATTTACAACTTTACACGCTCTGAACTATTGAGACTTAAGCAAGCATAGTGCGCACAAATTGTTTCACTCTCTACACTCATTTCATCAGTCTAGATTCTTCCTTGCATCCTTCATCACTGGTATGTTCAATTCATGTTTAGATTTTTCAATTTTTCTTAGTTTTTGTTCTTCGGTAGTCTCATTAATTTTGGGCCTAAAATGTCAAATGTTCTTCGTGTGTGCTTAAAATTATGTGGGTAATATCATATGTACTCATTGGGGGCTGGGTAAATCAGGTATCATGTTTAATTTTCCAATACCATGTCTACATTGTGCAAAGAAATTAAAAAACATAAGTCAATGTCGTATGATTTTAAATTGTGCAGTCGCACATACAATTGTGCGGTCCGCAGATTCTGAGTTAGGGCACAATACTGAGCAAGTAATGTGCGGACCGTACTCAAAATTTTGCGGTCCGCAGGAAATTGTGCGGTCCGCATAAAAATGTCTGCGACCACACTTTGAAACTTCAGAGAACCAGTAGAATAAACATGGTTTTGTGCGGCCGCAGTCAAAATTGTGCGGTCCACATTTTCACCTTTGTGCACTGTTTTGTTTTTCTGCAACTGTTAACTGCTTGTGGACTTATCTGAATCCTGTGTCTATGAATTGCAGACAATGGTGCGATCTTGTAGTCGAGGTGATACTTCCAAAGGGAGGGGTGAACCCTCCCGAGGCTGAGGTAGGGGCAACCTCCCACTCTTAGTCCGAAGAGCGATAAACAAGAAGGCAACTGCCAATAGTGTCCCAAAACCATCAGAATCCAGTGAATATTTCCCATCTAGGGATGCTCGGAGGGCAACTCTCTGCAAGCACAACCCGATGCACAATCTCAACCAAAGCAGCTTATGGTAGACTGCAACTAAGAGATGAGCCCTCCTACTCTGCTAGCTCTTCTGAGGGTTCGGAAGAGGGTAGCCAAGATTCAGAGCCCTCTTTCTCACATGCCCCCGCAGCACCTATCCCAGTTGATGATGATGAGGATATGCTTGATGACAATCGAGGGGGTGACACTAGAGTGGGCGGCCTAGAGAGGTCGAAGAAGAAGGAGATATGGGAAGATAGATTTGTGAGCTTGACCGCCTTCACAAGGTTCAGAGAATGGCGGCCCCAAAAATCGCTCACATTTGAGCGGCAATTCTTATTGAAGGATTTGGATAAATACTATCCAAATGTCCTTAAGCAGTTCAGGGAGCACAAGGGGTGGATGCGGTTCACCTAGAGTGTTATGGAGTCCAAGTCCTCTTGGTACGTGAATTTTCTGCCAATGTGGCACACATCAAGAAAGGTACCAAAGTGACCAAAGTGAGGAATCTGAAGGTCAGATTCGATCAATGCACTCTAAATACTTATAAGGGATTCGATGAGGTTTAGTACATGGAAAAGTTTTCTATGGGTGATGCAGCTCGCCCTTGGCTAGCAGAGATATTGGTAGCTCCAGGAACACCACCACCATGGATCACAGTGGGGGTTTCTATTGCACGGGCCACCCTAAGTTTTGAAGCAAAAGGGTCGCAAGCTGTTGTGTGCAGTTGGATAGACTCGAGCCAGAATGAGAACAATCTTCCACTCCCTTGAGTAGTTTTGGTGGCATCTATCATGGTCGGGTACCCAATCAATGTGGGTGCCATCATGTCAGTGGTTGTCCGAAAAGGTGAAATCTCCTATCCATATCCCAACACCCTGACAGAATACCTTACGGACGCAAATGTGTAGCCGAGGAGAGTTGATACACAGGGTAAGGCATTTGTCGCCGGTGGCCAGTCTGATGAGCCAACGGTGGTGGTTACAAATTCAGCTGCTGAGCCTTCTATAGCCCAGGTGCCTTCTACAGCTGCCATGCCTTCCACAGCAACCAGTCCTTCCACCGAGACAGCTGAAATGCCACCACCTCCATCTTCTAGACCATCCACATCAGTACCAGTTCTTGTTTCATCCATATGTCCTCTCACTGCGCTACGAGTCTCCTAGACATAGGCGAGTCTCAATAACTGGATCCAGACAGCTACTTCCAAGATGTATAACATAGCCAGTGTTGTTGTAGCACAATCATCTACCCCAGCACCATTGCAGGTACGTCCAGCAATTGAGGAAACATTGAAGAACATCTTAGAAAATCAGCAGACCATCATGGATACATTGGTGGCACATGGGGGAGCTATTTAGGAGTTGGGCAAACAGGTGAAGAAGATGCAGAAATCTCAGGCTTCGAAGAAATCGGTGGATAGATTGAGAAAAGAAGTGGGCAAGATAGCATCCGCTGCGGACATACCCCTTGATCTGCTGATGGAGTCAGCACCAGCAGCACCATCAATACCCGGGACATCAGAGGTAGCAACTGGCCAGTTTGAGGAGCCAGACGTTTCTGCCCACACTGCTGAGAAGGTGCTTCAGATGTTCACCAACCCCGTTATTCCCCGATTGGAGGATGATGGGATCCAGTTGGAGGATCCCGAGGGTGCTGATGATGCCATGCACACTGAGACCACATAGGGAGTTCTCTTAACTCTCAACCCTTCCTTATTCTACTTTTTTTTGTTAAGCATTGAGAACAATGCTCATTCTTATTCAAGGGGGGTCTATTTTTGTTGATTTGATATGATATTGGCATGTTATAACTTTAATACTCTTTTTTCTTTTATCTTTATTCTATCTTTCATTATGTATATATTCCTCCCTCTCTTTTGATGTAATTATTATATTCCCCTCGGTTTGTATATTCATTTGTCTTACTTTCAGTAGTTTATTTCATGGATTCTTTAGTTTGTTTTTCTTAGTAGTATTACTTCTTATTTACTTTAATAGCTTCTTTTTGATTTGGTAGCTTCTTTTATGTTTAAGTGAGAAATAAGCCTTTGGTTTTCTAAATGCCACGATTCTTTCCAAATGTTGATTTTGTGTGAACTGGGTGGCTATTTCCAACGATAGATGGCGTGACAACCTTTTTAAGGGATTGAGTCCATGTTTGATGTTTAGGTAAAAACAGTAGTAGTAATGAATAAATAGGGTCAAGCATGCTTCACTTGGTACCAAAATATTTAACTACGACCTTATGGTTAAAAACAAGTTCTTGGCAAGACATAGCTCTAATTAGTGACCTTTAGACTCTTGTGTTGACTTGAGCAATCATCGAGTGGTTTAGTTGAACCATTAGTGAATTTCAATCTTGAATATGGTTGTTGTGGGCCCTCGACTCTATCCTCTTGAACAATCAAGTTGTGTGAGAAGTGAGATTTTTGTTACAAGTCCAACTACTTGTGCGAATGGTCTAGAACTTACCTTGAATGTGTTTCTAGGAAAAATTTTAAGTTTTGCTTGGCTTGAGAAGTGATTTTAGGCTCTCCTTGGCCCACTGAAAATTTTCCATGTCCCGCTAATGTTCCTAACCCTAGTCAACCCTTTTGAGCCTAAGACCTTTCTCATTTGATAGCCACGTTACAAGCCTTACCCGTTTGTAGTGACCGTCTCTTGGCACCCTAGCTTTCCTTAACACTCTTGAGAAGTAATTGGCTAAAACATAAGTTTGGGGGAGAGACTAGGAGTTTGAAAGTGGTATAAAGGCACAAAAGGAAAAGAAATGAAGAAAAGGAAAGGAAAAGAAAAAGAAAAAATGAACAAAAGAAAAATGCAAAAGAAAGTGAATAAAGTGAAAAGTTGAAGGGATTCAAAGAAAAGAAATGATGCAAAGCATGGAGAAAACAAAGAAGGAGAAAATGAACATCATGACCGAGAAAGAGTGATGTTAAGTCTCTTCAGTTCCCATAAGGAAAAAGATAATGACACAAAGAGTCGGCAAAACATGAGCCAAAAAGAGAAAATGGATTGCTTAAGGAAAGATGAACCCGTTTCTACTCCAACATTCCTTACCTTTGTCCAAAAGCCCTCATTACATTCCGAAAAAGCCCTACGTGATTTCAAGCCGAGTAAGCTTACATTAGTGGTGATCTACAAGAGGGGCAAGCATATGGTACTTAGAGCCGTACTTGTGACATTCTTTTAAGAGTAATGAGCGAGCCTTTCACGAATCATTGCATTGAGTGCTTGATTCTTGAGTGAGATGAGCTTACAGAGAGTATAGGAGGAGGAGTTTGGGATCCACAATGACCTATATGAAAGTGCGAACTTCCTTGATGAGAAAAGTCAACCCTTGATGCTCAAGTGTCACATTACAGCTATTTGTGCTTTAACATTCAAAACATAGGCTAGTTGATAATTCATGAGTGTGTGGGTAATTGTTGGTCCCAATTGATGTGTGTTTGATTCACCTTAGGCCAGCTGAAATAGCTCTTTCCTTGTGGAGCTGGGAATTACCTTATTTTCTCGAGGAAAACCAAAAGCTTAAGTTTGGGGGAGTTAATGAGTAGGGACTTTGACTACTTATTTGCACTCTTTTACTTTTGTTTTGGCTCAAATTACTTAAAGGTATGCAATAAAATTGATGAAATGTGCTTTCTTGCAGGAGTGTTGGAATATGAGTCAAAGAGATGAAAATCAACTCAAGAGGAGTCATTTTTGACAAGGACTAAAACAAAGCAAAAAGATCAAAGTGCGGGCCGCACAATATTGAGTGCGACCGCAGACCATGAAGAACCTCTGACAGATTTCCTTTGCAAAGTGTGGACCGCATAATTAGACCATGAAGAACCTCTGACAGATTTCCTTTGTAAAGTGCGGACCGCACAATTATTATGCGGCCATAGAAGATGAGGGTCAGAGATATGGGAGTCTGGGTCAATGAAGAAGTGCGGACCGCACTGTTTTTATGCGGCCGCATAATTCAAAAGTGCGGCTGCACTCAGAAACGTGCGGTCCACAGAAGTCTCTCATGTCAAGCTCAAGTTCAAGAGTGCGTCCGCACTCAGAAATGTGCGGTCTGCGTAATCTGAAGAAGTGTGGCCGCAACCCAGAATTGTGCGGCCGTAGAAGTCCATCCTATTAAGCTAACTTCAAAGTGCAGACCACACACACAATTGTGTGGCCGCAGAACCTCCGTAAGGGCAATTTTGACTGATAATTTCAGCTGGGTATATATAGTTCTTTTTGTCAAATTTAGGTTAAGTTTGAACATCAGAAAGTTTGTAGCCGTTTTCCTTTGCTTTTTAGTAACTTTAACTTACTTTTTAGATTTTTGTCTTTTAATCTTTCAATATGAGTTTAATTATCATTTCTTCATTTTCATCTATTAGTAGCTAAATTTCTAGCTAGGGTTGTGACCCAACCCTAGTGTGGGTACAGAATGTGTGTTTGATTTAGAGCTTGTTTATGGTTGAGTGTGTAATATTTAGCCTAGTTCTTGCTTTAATTGTACAACTAATGGTTGCAAACATTGATTCAAGCCTATTTGACTTAGTCTCTACTAGAGAAAGAGAGATTGAGTCTAGGAAAATCTGGCTAGCAAGAAATTGGGGTGAACTTAAGAAATTGATAGCCCCATTTAAAGGGTTGAATCTAGAGATAGTAAAACCCGACTTGAGCATCTATCAACTGTTTTGTGAATTACCCATTTGGACTTGAGAAAGCCAAATTGGGCAAAATCACTTTATTGTCGAGAGGTATTGAGTGGGTAATGGTGTGTTGATTGCTATATTACGTCCCGACCAACGAAACTCACTCTAAATCTCACAACCCGTTAGGCAACCACCTAGGTGGAAATCAGAGTCCTAGATCTTTTACAACTTGAAAAACAACACCAAAAATATTGTTCTCTAGTTTCATACTTTATATTTGTAAACCGTAGCATAATTTAAAAGTAGAATCAAAACAAAGTTTGTGGAAGCGCAACTTAGATACTTTACGTGCTTAATCCTAATATATACTTAGATACTTTACGTGCTTAATCCTAATATATACCACTAATCCCATCTACGCTCCCTGTGTATTCGATCCCGACTCATAGTTGGGTAATAATAATTGCTTCGATCGCTTCACAACCCCAATTTCAGGTGTGAACTTGGTTGACATCAGCTCACATCTTGGAATCCGACAAAAGTAATAAAATCCGAACACCCATTTTGATACGAGTCCAACCATATCAATTTTGTCAAATTTCGATAATGAATCGACTTCCAAATCTTACATTTTCATTTTTGAAAGATTTTGCAAAAATCTTATTTTCTTCCAATTGATTCACTAATAAAGGATGAAAATAATCATGGAATCATGAAATATAATGAAGACCGAGTACGAAATACATACCTCAATCATTTGGTGAAAATTCTCTCA